AAATGCTTATAAATTTTATGTATTTGCTTAATTTAATGGTTAGGGGTCTTGAAAGAAGTTTCTTTTCAGGACACCATATACAGAGTCACAGCACTGATACTAAGAGCAAATAATAACAACTTGGCATTGAAGGAACAGGAGTCAATTTGAATATCTCTTACAAAGCATGTAATGCAGTCTTCTGTGTTACATATACTTAACTAATTGAATGTGTGTGAGAGATTGTGCCAGTTGACTTTGTTATGAACTCATTTCATAGAAAAATATAAAAAGGCAAAAATGCTCACTTATCATTTTAGGTTTCAAAGTTAATAATAGAATTGGGGCTCACAGATAATATTTAAGGACCTACAACCCATAATCTGTGCTGCCGTAGGTCTACACATCTTATATTTTACCTTACATTATCCTTAGACTTAAAACAGATGACTTTGAATTTTAGAGCAGTTTTCTCCTTAAAATAGAGTTTTCCACTATTGGCAGTAACCACTTTGGACTGTCTGAGCCTTTGTTGTGAGTGGTTTTTTGTCATATTTATAGGATGTTTACAAGCAAACTAAGCAGCTGATAATTTATGCCAGGAATAGTCCCCCAGCTGTGACAGTCACATATATTCTGGGTAGCATAAAAATTCTTTTAGTTGAGAATTGCAACCTAAAATCCAGAATTTTGTCATTTTATTGAATGGCGTTTGAAGAAACATGTGTATGGGACATGAAGTTTAAATTCCATGACATGCTCAAATAATATGATGAATCTTTAAATTTTAAAATCTTTATTACAGTAAAAGCCACAATGCCATGATTCCTCTTTGAAATATTTTCCTTTACTTGAAACATGGTTACTCCACCATTCATTATCTTTTCCATGTAAAAATGCTATTGTTTATGGACAAGACAGAAATAAAATGAGTTGTATAGAAATGACATCCCACCAATGTGGCCACTTTTTAAAGAAGTTTGAAGTCATCTATCTTGAGTGCTTTTAATTATGCTACTGTGACTGCTCTGATTTTTTGAAACCTGTTATCTTTAATAGTAACTTTGATTTTATAGAAGAGCCAGAATCCACAGGGTGGATGAGATCACAGAGTGATGCTACTATTTGACAAATATTTCTATAAATACTGAATCAGCAAGAAGTAATTAAAAACTTTGATGAATGATCAAAGTATTCATTACAGTAGAGGTTATATGGTCATTCACCAACTTCAAAATATTTAAAATACTCTCCCTTGCTTCATGTACAATGCAATGCATCTATATTTTTGTAATTTAAGTATTCATCATATATCCCAAACACTTCTTACATAATACATATTTCTCAATTTCTGGTTTCTCTGAAATTATAGTATCTAACGGACAGTGTGGAGTTTATGCACAATAGGCTTGCCACATGAAGCTTCTTGAAAATGTCACTTAACAATTGATTGCTTGATTGATCTACTTTATATATTTTAGCATTTTTTTCTTGGTACTGGACATCAAACTCATGTCCTTGCCCTTGTCACACAGGCGCTTACACCACTGAGCTCAATACTTTAGTCCTTAATTCAAATAAAATAGTAATCTGTTGATATTTAAGAAAAAGTAATAAAATAATACTCAGGCATTAAGCAATTTAAGATAAAAATACAATGCCAAATTGTTAAACAGCTGAAATTTAGTAAAATAATAAGAATTATGTATTGTACATAGTAGCTATGGTATACCTGAAATTCACCATGAAATAATTTTTTTTTTAATCAAGATTTTACTGGAAATATTTTCAGTTGATCTGGCATTGAAGAGAATAGCAACCAAATGATGGATGTGAGAGGTAATCTACTATGTGGATCAAAATATTTTGAATATTTACATCATGACAATATAAAAAGAAGAAAAAAGAAATGGACTCTGAGAAACAACAAAAATAACCTAAATTATCTGTGAATTGGGAAGAGAAGTGGACAAAGAAGATAAGAAGAACACTGTGTTCTAACCAAAGCAGAACTGATTTGCCAAGCTCAGTCCCTGCTGTCATATTTATCACCTGTGTATCTTGTGAGCTAACAGATAAGATGTGCTCTACAAATGTACTTTGGAAGAACTCACTTTTAGCTGCATAGTAAGGAAACGGGGCTATGTCTTATTAAAGCCCACCAAACCTGCTTCTTTTATCCCTAACATAAGAGCCCAGGATTGCTCGGGGATAGCTCTGTGAGTACCTATAAATAAAAGTTGTTGTTGCATATAGACAAAAACTCACCCTTTTATCAAATGAATGGTAAAATCTTTGAGTATTATGGATCAGTTGTATATGTACCCCCTATTTTTAATTATTTAAAGTTGCTATTGTAAAGGTACTCCTTTAATTAGCATATTATATATTTATTTGCACTGTTCACATTAGATTAACTGGTTGAACGTCATTATCTGTTATAGGGTTGTAAACATACACTAAGCCCATTGTTATTCTCCCTCAGAGGCCTTCATGAACTCATTTACTTCATGAACTCATTTACTTTCCAATCTGGGAGTCTAGACTGTCAAGGCCACTTCCTGTTGGTGAGCAGAAGAATTAATTCGTGAACATTTTCCTCTCTTGGTGGGTACTGTGATCCTATGTGGATGACCTTGTCAAGAGGAATCCCCGCACTTCATCTGCCCCACACTGACAAAGTCCTGTTGGCAGCCTCAAGGTCCTGCAGGCTGCTAGGGAAAAGTGGCAAAGAAACAAAGCAACCCTCACCTCCTGTGAAACTGCAGACTCCTGCTAGCCAAATGGGAGAAGCAACAGAGAAGCAATCTGACCCCCACCCTCAGTGCACTGAGTGGAGACCTGTCATGGTTTGTGTCAGTGGCCCCAAGAGTCATGCAATTGTGCATTTGTGATTGGTTCATTGTCTAGCACTCAGATTGGTGGTGTGAGTGCTACACTCTCCTAGGTGTGGAACCAGGATATGAAGTAATGGTGGGAAGGTGTGTGTGTGTCTCTCTCTTGCAGGGTTTGTGCTTGCTGTTTGCAGCCACCATGAACTGCAGCTCCGTCATGCCACCCTATCTTGAAGCCAACTGAGTATGGACTGAAACCTCCAGATCTGTAAGAAATAAATCTTTTTTTCCCTAACTTTGGGTTTCAGGTACTTTGACTCAGCAACAAGTACAAAGTAACTAAGACAAGGTCCTTTCAGCCACTGGGGAGGAACAGTAAGGAAGCAATGTGGCCCCCAACCTGCCTGCACTGGGAGGCCTGGCCTGCTGCTTGGGAGAAATGGCATGGAAACAATGTGGTTCCTAAGCTCCATGGCCAGCAGAGGTCCTACTGGCCAGGAAGAAGCAGCAAGAAAGCCACACAGCCTCTCAGTGTGCTGTAAGAGGTCCTTCAGCTGGAGAGAAACAGCAAGGAAGCCGCCTGTATCTCCTCCCACATCCCTAAGCAGCCTGATGTGACACAGGCTGAGATGACAATAACTGAAGTAGGGAAATAATCTGACATATATGTTCTTTGATTGACTTTGCAGGCCTGGGCTAGCAGTCTGGGTAACTCTTTAGAGGATACCACTGTGCAATATAGTAACAATGGTGGATTTCCTAATGTCCTATTATTATGATGCTTCATTTCATTTTACAGTTCTGTTTTACTCTCTGTTAAATAAAAATTTAAATAAATAAATAAAAGAGGGGTTAGCATTTAAGAGTCATTAAAGGAAAGAAATTTGGTGGTGGTACAGCATAAATCTTGGCAGATTCTTAAAAACCGAAGGCAAACTTATCATGTCTTAGCTTTGAAGTCACTAAAGAAGAGATAGATGCCTTGCTTAGGACATCTATGCTTCCCTGAAGAACCATTTGCTTTAGAATACTCTATCCCTTTTATACTTCCCTTATGTCCATATTCAGTGATTTTTATATGCCTACAAGACATTTCATTTATCAATTAATTTTTTCCCTCTTGATGCTCTACCATTACACCTTTTCTAGGAGTAGGCATAATTTCTCCGTTTACAGCAGTGCATTTGAAAATATATCACTATTTGCTGAACACATATCCCTCCAATTCAACATAATCTGATTGGATTTATCTTGTACAGGACATTCCTCAAATTCCTACGTATGACTTTTTTCTCCTTGTTTTAATATGTTACAAAGTAAATGAATTCATTCTAGATTTTATCTTCTTCTAGAACTTAGCATATAATGATCCACATTATCCATGCCATTTTTCCTCTGTATATAACATTCATGCTTAGTTATCCATTGTACTATTTACTGTAGATTTCAGTGGAACCATTTTTTAAATTATCATAATTCGTAAAACGTTTCCCTGTTTGGTCGCTGCCAAATGTTTTTTTAACAACAATCCTAGATTGATAAATGTAATGTGTATAACTGGTCAAGATGATTTTTAAATTGTAATCAGTATACTAGACCCTCTTAGATTAAGAGGAAGTTCTTTATATTCAAGTATCACTTCTTGTAGAAACTCTCATTTATTTATTGTTCTATTTAAACTTGGCTCCGACCATGAAGAGTTACTCATTGCCTTTAAGTTTGTTCAATTTTATTTGCTTACATTCATAATACAGTTGCTCTGACTTTTCACAGCTTTGCTTTTTACTGTTTTGTTCATTTGCCATCAACCTTGATCTAAAACTCTAAATGTAAAACTCTAGATATACTCAACTCATAATTTAAAAATATTATTATTGAATTTTGTTTTTAGTTGTTACTATCACTGCACCTAATTCATGAATTAAACTTGATCATTGTTATATAGGTGTAGAAAAAGTTGTTACATCCAAGATTTGTCAATCTACGGTCTCAAGCTTCCAATTGGGTCTTGGAATATATCGCTAAGCAAAAGGGCCATCTGCTGTGCTCTCTAAGGTACTTCTTAATTTACATGGGCATCAGTCAGTACAAGATGCACATTACAGTCCTTTGGTTCCACTCATATTTGTCATTTGAAATTAATAATCATCATCTATAAATAACCCATAAGGTGACTCCATCAGCACAATGTCTGTCTTCGGGTTCTGCCCTGTATCCTCGCTTCCTTTCCACAAGCTTAACAGGCTGATATACTTCATCCATGATTTCTCAATAATTGAGTCAGTTGTTCTGTTAGCCATGGCCCTTGACTGCTTTGTAGCAATCCGAGAACCCCTGTGCTATGTGACCATTTTAACTACTGATGTGATCACTGGGATTGGGTTGTCAATAGCTGGAAGAGCCTTAGCCCTGGTATTTCCGGCTTCCTTCCTTTTGAAGAGACTCCAATATCATACAGTCAGTGTTCTTTCCTACCCCTTCTGCCTTCATCAGGACCTCATAAAGACAAAAGTGTCCAGCCATCATGTGAGCAGTATCTATGGCCACATGGTGGTCATCTGCTCCATGGGACTTGATTCAGTGCTTCTCCTCCTGTCCTATCTCCTCATCCTAAGCACAGTGTTGAGTATAGTCTCCAAAGCAGAGAGAGTGAGAGCACACAGTACTTGCATTTCCCACCTCTGTGCAGTGCTCAGCTTCTACACACCCATAATTGTGCTCTCTATGATCCACCACTATGGGCAGAGTGTGTCTCCGGTTGTCCATGTGCTCATGGCCAATGTATACTTGCTGGTGCCACCTCTCATGAACCCTATTGTCTATAGTGTAAAGACCAAGCAGATTCATGACAGAATCCTCAAGAAATTCAAGAACCATGAAGTTTAAATGAAAGAGACTCTAAACTACAAATTTCCTCCCATCTCCTCTATAAGTACAAGAGTATTTATCAGTGTTGTCTTGAGAATGTAATTGGTTCCAAAAACCTGTATCTAAAAGATACAGGTCCTGAAGACCTGTATCTAAACCTCAATGAATGCTAGTATTTTTAAATGGAGAGTAAAAGCCTGATTTTATTTTATAATGAGATTATTTATTATGTGTTTTGAATACCATCAAGTCTTTAATATTTAAATGTCATGATAAATATAATATAGACTCTATGATCTGGATACTCTTCTAATGTATTTACATTACTGTGAAAATATGTGAAATACATTTTAAATCTGTTGAAATCTGAACAGAGTGCTGAGCTTGCTGAGATTACTGGTGTGAGTCACCAGTTCAGCTTCTTAGCTTCCTCTTAATGCTATGAGACTCTCAGACTTTTCTACTTTTGAATTTTTGGAAGTTTTCAAGGTTAGTTAGGAGTTTTGTGAAATGTCACTTTCCTGAGATTTCTCTTTGCTTATCTCACAAGTGCATTAGAATTATGTGTTCTGAAGAGAAAGACAGCAGAGGTGGAAAACGTTGAATATCACTTTTGTAGTGTGCCTGTATCATGTGATTAGGGTAGTGTCCATATTGTTTCTCCTTTATGAAGTTGATCTTCTTTAAAAAACCTCTCTTTCTAGATAGCTAGTACATGGCATGGTGATACAGCACTTTTCCAGTGCATGGCAGACCATGTTTTGTCTCTGATAACAACAAAACATCGAATAAAAAACATGAATGAAAATGCTACTTCCATGCACCACTTTTTGAAATATACACAGTTTATACTGAAACAGTGGGAACTCATATTTCACTTCATTAACAACAGAGCTTATATAAAATCAATAAATATTATTTTGAATATTTATATTCTAGAATCTTAATTTGTCTAAGATGACATGGTTCTCCATAATTTCCTTTCCTTCATGTTCTACATGTAACAGTTCCCAAAGATGAATGAATTTATTGTGTACCATGAATATATACTAATAAATATTTTGGAAATAAAATTTAGCGAAATAAAAACAGTATTGGAACTGCAGTCATGAATGCTAAATTTCTACTTGCTAATAGGGTTTTTGTGCTGCCAGCCTTTCTCATCAGTCAAAATAGGAAGATACTTGTGTATCATAAAGTGTTCATGAGCCATTATCTATGACTATTTCTATATGTGGTTTCACTTAAGCAAAATATGAATTTATATTGATATTAACATATATAGAAATTCTACTGTCTTCTCTTGCTTATATCTCCTACACTAAAAGTAGGAACTCATGTTCCAATCATCTACCATTTAGGTCCAAATTTTTCCATGTCTAGTATATAAATATAGCAGTATCAGCACTGTATCTTGGAGGAAAGTCATTTGTGATTTATGTGAGTTGGGAACAGTTTCCCCTATATTGCAGATTGATTGTCATCCTTGTAACAAGTCTCAGGAATATTTTAATTTTGATAAATTAAGAATGTCCATTTTATCTTCAGGAATTGTGCTTTTCTTGTCAGAATCAAGGACACAATTATTTTATCCTACATTAACTTTATAAGTGTTGTAGCACTTTATTTTATTTTTAGGTTTAAATTTTTCATTTTTAGATTTATCACACATGTTTTTTATTAAATTTAATGAAAAGTAGGTTCTGTATCCAGATTCTGTAATTCTATATGTATAGAAAAACAAAATCTGTGAAAGTGAAGCTGTTTTAAATATTTGTGTAGAATCTTGGAGAAGACATTCAAAATCAGATGTAATATATTGTTATGATTGCAGTCAACACTTCTCAGAAACCTCAATTATATAATAAAATGATCTAAGTTTTCACTCAAAATAATCACATTCTCATAAAAATCACACAATCCATACATGATTGTGTAGAAATAAATTGTAGAATTGTAGATGATTGTAGAAGAAATCTTCAAGAATTCAGAAAAAACTTGTACCAAGAGTTGGTAGTATGAGTGATTCCTCAACATTTTTTTTTCATAAATCATACCTATGGAGTGATCCTTGTGAGCAGAAATCTAAAATAAAACAAGTAATTATAAAAATACTACATTTTAAGGCTTAATAAATATGCAAGACATTATTCTAGGTGCCTCAGGGAAGTTTTACTTATGTCTCATTTATCTAACAAAGGAAATATTATTATTCCCATTTTGTACATAAAGAAGTTTAGATGTACGAACACTGTCTTAAGTCATCTAAAGTTCCAGAACTTGCATATGATAAAGCCAAGATTTGTGCATTAGCAGCAAGATACTTAGTAGAAATTTAGGGCCTAAAATTTTAGTTACTTATCAATAGTATTTTTTCAAATAGTCAGTGGTAATGAGAAATTCATGTCTAGGTCAGTTTATGTGAAATATTATGGTTCTTTGTTTTTATGTCAATTAAGGAAAAAAATCTAAGCACTTAAGTACTTAAGAAAAAACTATCATTGAGGAGAAGCAGTGTTAATATTATTATTACTGTTAGTATTATTATTATTAGGTTCAGGGATGAAATTCACTACCTCATGCTTGCCAGGCAGGCATTTATGCCACTGAGCTAAATTACTGGCCCAAAAACATTATTATTAAGAACTAGGAAAAAAAAAAACTTTTACTACCTAAAATGTCCAAAATTAAGTTGGCCAGTTTCTTGTATGTATAGAAGTACCAGGAGTTTTACACTTATGTAAAGCTAGAGTTGTATTTTTTAATCCTTTATTTTAGTTGTTCCCCATTTGTATTAGAACATGTTTGATGTACGGAACAATTGTATTGCTGTGGGGAATTGGTACATGCACATAACAAACCTTAAATCTTTCATTTCCTCTCCCCCTTACTCCGCCTTCCCTCCAGCTCTTGGTTCCCTCCCCTCCTGCAAAGGATCTGTCTCCCTAATTATTTATTTCTTTATATTATCAAAACAAATGGCAATAGTTATGTGTTTAGTCTACACTATATTTCCTCTGTACACAAATCCATCCAGCTTTGCTTGTGCTCTCAATGTCTTTTCTTATTTTGCAGGAGCAGATCTAGAGGCCATGAGCAGTCTCTGAGGACTCAGTCTCTGATCTCTACCTAAAGCTGAGAGTTAAAACGGGGCCTCTGGTGATAGAAACCAATCACAAAGTTATTTTGCCAGTGCTACCCATAAAAGAGACCAGGTAGTGTGCTTCTTGGTGCTCTGTGAAGGATGAAGTGAAATGGCTGTGGTTTCTGGAGAGTGATGTGGTCACCCATATGGAAAGAAGCATGGGCAGTGCAGGCTGAGATCAGGTCTTTGTGACCAACATTCACCCAGCAGCAAAAGGTAAGTGTTAAATCATAGCACCTTTCTATTAAATCACAATACTGAAAAGTAGTGAATATGTATTATTCATAAATAACATAAATTCAATTAAATGTTATATACAAAACTTCTCATGAAGATTCAGACATAAAGTCTTGTTAATTCCATGTGATAAATTCAATTTCCATAGGAAGAAGAATTAATGAGCCTGGTAGACACATAGTGTTGAGACAGGCTCCTAAATTAAGCCCAAAGTAAGGAACAGGGACTCCACACCATTGGTATTACCCCTATTTTTCTGATGGAGAATGATATTTTAATTGGTCAGATTGTCTGTGGTTTTGTAGAAACAAGTCAGACTTGGCAGTATTTTTGTTATCTGTGCTCAAACACATTCAAAAATGGGAAATTTAATTGTTATTGTCTTATTTTCTTACTGATAAGAAAAATGAGATACTTAAAAATGTGGTTAGAAATTATAGCTACTACCAAGAATGAATATAAATCTTTAGGCTTTATTTTGAAAATGTCTATGCTCCAGCCTATAGGAAAATTCTCTATCATTCTAAGTAGCGTGGCTCATTTGAAGCCCTTTGAAGGCTATTTTCATTATCACTCTCTGTTCCTTCAGACTACTACACATATTAATTCTTTCTCTATCAAAGCACTGCTATCCAACAGAACTACAAAAGGAATCTCCTAGATATAAAACAAACAGAGGCTTCAGGTTTATGTTATTCCTACATTTCTAGTACATTGAAGTGATTGGAGAAGTGAAAAATTAAGTACCAGCTTCCTGGCTTAGGTAGCACACATTCTGAGAATGTTCTTGTGATGTGGTTAGTGAACAGAACTGTATCACTAGCTCATCTTACCCCTTTCCAGCTGATCCTCTGTGCAGTTGATCTGTCAGGAGCAACCGCTATTTCCACTCCAGGGCAGGATTCTCAAAGAACCAGTGCTTGTCTGGGAGCATCCAGCCTTGTTGATGATTTTGTGCTTCAGTGTTGCGAGAAGCTATTGGACCAGGCCCAGGGATTTTATCAATGTGTTTATGTAGATCAATGAGGACTTAGAAGAATTTACATTTCTGAGTATGGGAGTGCCTGTATCTAGGGTTTGTGAGGTATTTTAATTATGAATTGCTACAAAGCATTTTAAACTTCCTTCCTGGTCTATTCACTTTGCTCCATCAACTCTGTTAGTGCTTACAGAGTTTCTCACAATACTGGAGTCCCAGATTTCAATCAAATTCCATTGCCTTCCAAACTAATGGGTAAGTTTAAATATTAGAAATGTGCATTAATTTTGTTGCAAGCCTCCATTTCAGGATTAGAAGACAATCAGCATGAAGAATGAAAACTCGAGATCCAATCATGTCCTAAACAGTTCAGATGATTACAAGGAACATTCAAGTGATGAGCTTCATTATTAGACTTATTTTCATAGTAAAGTGACTCCAGCACTGCTGAAACTCCCAGGTAGCAACTTATGTAACTCCTCTCTCCTCCTCTGATCTGTCTCTGTCTCTCTGTGTCTTTCTGTCTATCTCTGTGTCTCTCTCTCTGTCTCTTTCCCTCATTGAGCACTTCCCAAGGACAGGAAGAATTTCATTTTCCCTATAACCAGGTAATGTTGTATTGTGATAAAAGGAGCATATTTCACCCAGCCGCATTTT